CTCTAGAAAGGAGGAACCTACGCGATACACCGTGTTATTTCATATCCAAACGGATACAAGCCACGCGATACGTTGTGTTATTTTTGTCATACCAGTTTTGTTGCATACCTTAACAGAAGGGGAACGCGTTGCACATGGAAGCAATCCCGTGCGTTCCCCCTCTGTTACCAGTGCCGGTTCCAGTGCTGGTTCCAGTGCCGGTTTTTTGTGGGAAGGTATGCAAGAAAACTACAAATAACACGGTGTAACGCGTGGCTTGGATCTCGAATAACACGGTGTATCGCGTGGCTTGGATCTGGAATAGTATTTTACATCCAGTACTCCAGTACTCATAAATCGCAAACTGGGGGGGAGCAAACAGCAATCAGCAATCAGTACTAGGGGGGGGGGAAGCAAACAACAATAAGCAAACTAGTTTAGTAGATTAATAATAATYAGTAACTGACCATGGGATTGTTATTCCGAATCATCTTCAGACAAGGAGGATGAGGAGGACGATGACGATAACGACGTGTTGCTCTTGTTCCTCTTTCTCTTTCTCCTCTTCCGACGTTGCAGAAAAGCACCGGCAATCTCAGCAACCATTGTCTTGATTTGGGCCATGCTTTGATGAGACAGTTGCTGATTCATTTCCATGGACTGCTGATGCTGTTCCCTGGACTGGATAGCGAGGGCTTCTTGCTGTTGCAGGGACATCTGGAACAGGGATTGGAAGTCAGTCGTGCTGCTGGTGGCGCTGCTTCCTCCTCCTCCTCTTGATGAGACTTGTAAGTATGGTCTCTTGGCAGGAGGACGTGGGCGCGGAGTACTCTGTGGAACAGCGTTGAAACTTGATTGTTGTTGTCTGCTGGCTTGAGCCAGCTGAGTTGGCATCTCATCACCAAGCTGTGTTGGTGTCATATCTTGATTATCTTGAGTGACCTGCTGTGTTGGTGTCATTCCTTCCTGTGTTGGTGTCATTCCTTCTTGTGTTGGTGTCATTTCTTGAGTAAGTTGCGAGGGCTGTCCAAGAGGAGGAGGACTTTCGGTGGTGTTGTTGTTGTTCTCAAAAGTGCCATTTTCCTCACTAATAATGTATCCTTCTTCCATATCAAAGTCCTCCACTCCATCCCCACAAGCAGCCTTGGCGCCAATGAGATTCTTSATCTCCTTTGCCAGCCTAACAGCTGGATCAATGTTTGGATTCCCAGTGGGTGCTGATTTCCTGTGGAGGGACGCGTACTTCCTAGTGATTGAATCCCTGTCTCTTCCAGTCCCACAGTTCTCATCATGGGTATCAATGAATTCTCTCCATTGTTCTGGTCCAATAGGAAGGATCCTCCTCATGGTTGTCAGCAGGGACATTGTCTCGCTCCTGGTGTAGTTGGTGGATCCCTTGGAT